AACATTTTTTTTCTGTATTTATTTTAATTTGTGTCCTGGTTCTTTTTGACATCTAACATGGTCTTTTACTTGGGCATTTCCTTTACCTGTCTGCTGTTAAGGGTCTAATCCACCCCCCCACCAAGAACAAAGGTTTATGTCTGTTTTGCTAATTTATATTTCCCTAGGGCTGGGTAAAGATGTCCAGTAAGTAACTGTAGAAACAACAAAGATAAGATAATAAATGCACAAATAGTTGAATGAATGAGTTGACAAAGTAAAAGATAAGACAATACATTCAGTAGGGAAAGTATCTCAAGAGGCTTCCATCCTGATAAATAGTCTAAATTTAGTGTATAAATAATCTTCTAGGCAAAAAGATCTCTCACACGAGACTTGGTTTTTAAATAAAAGGAACTTGGGCATGACATGTTGATAGAAACAGATCTTCCCTATAGAAGGCCCATACATAATAATTATAGAAGGAACGGGACTATTAATAACTGGTAAGATCCATGACTGGATATTAAAATGCGTGTCCCAAAGTTTGCAGAAAAGCAAGACATTTGCATACTCTGAAAATATTGAATCCCAAAGCAAAAGGAAAACCAGTAGTTCCACGGTGGAGAAAGGCAGTACATACTACCTATGCCAGATAACCAGGGAAACAGGAGCAAGGAGTGTCGTGTGCCTCCTGACACTTAAAGCCACAAAAAAATCTAATCTCTTCTGTGGTCGTCTTAGTCACTTTTCAGTTGCTCTGACAAAACGGCATGTCCACGGATTTTATAAAAGAAAGAGTTTATTGGGGGCTCACAGTTTCCTAAGGGAAGTTCGTGGTCTTCACGGTAGAGAGCATGGCAGCATCAGGCTGGCAGGTATGGCATTGGAGCGTTAGCGGAGAGCTTACATCTGATCCACAGTGTAGATGACAGGGAGAGTGAGATGAGGCGTAGTGTGGGCTTTTGAAACCTCAAAGCCTGCCCCCAGTGACATACTTCCCCCAGCATAACCACACCCCCCAATCTTTCTTAAGCAGGTCCAAAGGGGATCCAAGTATTCAAATACATGAGCCCACGTGGGCCAGTCTCATTCAAATCACCGCAGCAGCGTTCTTTCAGAAACTCCATAGTTTTGTGAGAAAACATCCAATAAAGCCAACCCAGAGACATTCTCCTAAATCGAAACTGTCTTCAGAAATTTCCATTGCATTAAGGGAATAAAGGACTGAGAAAAACCCAGACTGGGAGAGACAACAGAGATTGGTTGAAACTGCATCTAACAAGGGTATGCGATTGGATCCCGGAACAGGGACGTGACAGGGGCTTAAAAATATCTAAGTACTGCCTGTAATTCTGTGGATAGTTTGGATCGATGCTAATTTATTGTTCATGTTGTATATTTTGCTAATCTTAGAGGAAGGTGAGTCAAGGTACACAGGGAAACGTTACACTAATTCTATAATTTTCTTCACGTCTAAAACTATTCTTAAAATTTAAAAATATGGAGATGTAATCTCAGCATCCTAGACGCTGCACTTCATCATACCCTCCCCCGCAAAACACATACCCAGCAACTTTGTTATTCTTCTTGGTTCTGCCTCATTACAAAGTTTCCTGTGACTTCCATGAGAATTTAAAGCTGCTTTCTAAGGCCTTCATATTTTAGTAAAAGACACTGAAGGCTATAGAGATTCAATGTGGCCAAAATCTTTTAGGTGAGGTGTGAGAGAGCAGGAGTTTATCATGAAAGACCATGGTCCTGGGGTAACTTAGGGTTTCTCAGCTTTGACACTATCAGTACATCGGGCTTCATTTCTCTTGGTTGTGAACATTATTACCCAGTACTTAGCCACATCCTTGGCTTTGACTAATAGGTGACCATAGCACATTTTTCTCCTGGTTGTGACAAACCAAAAATGTCTCTAGATATTGTCAGGGAGACAAAGCCCATCCTTATTGAAAGTCAGAGAGATTGGGAGGATTAAGAGAGGGCATTCCAGGAAGAGAGAAAAAGTAGAAGGAGGAGGAGGAGAAAGGTATATGACAAAAGCCAGCAAAAGTGTTTTGAGAAAGATAGTTAGTTTATCACTTAGTATGATCCTGGAGCTAAGTGAAGGTGAGAGAAGAAACTATTGGGCAGGCTCTGGTCACAGAGAACCTCTGACAGCTAATTGTGTTAAGTACTCCCTGTTCTGTTCTCCAGGCCTCCACTCCTGCTGTTCCCAGCAGGCTAATTTTTATGGATGGCATCACAGAAATTCTTGTTGCTTGACTAAGTGTTGTGTTGGATGAATGAGAGCAACAGAAGAGGACCTGGACGGTTCGGAGAGCAGTTCTGTTTCTTATTCTGTCTTCAAGCCCATGGTAGAGTATAGCTACATCCCATTCACTTAACAACCCTCACCCCCATTCCCACCCCCACCCCACCCCCACCCAGAGGATGTCTTGGCTCCTGTTCTCAGTAGCTCAGGGCTGTGTCTTTCCTTCTGTATATGTCTCATGTGACCTGGAGTAGTAAAAATCTTGGGTTCTTGCTAGTTCCTAGGGGTCCTGCCATCTTTTTCATGTTAGGGTTTCTTTCACTCTGTCCAGTCTTCTGCATGGTTCTTTTATTAGTTTCTCTGCAGTTTACCCTTCTGAGTAATGCTAAGACACAGAGTTGCAGACTAGAGATTACATGCTTTAGCACTGTAGTACATTGTAAATGGGAAAAAAGAGGGAAGGCTTAAGGATGAGGGCCAGATTTTAACCTAAGAGGTGAATGAGTAGCTGGCCATACTTATGACTAATCAGACATATGGCTAGGGAGCTTGAGTTCGAAGCATCAGTGGGGCATACAAGTCAGAAGGACAGGCATCTACAGACCTGAAGCCTGGGAGGCTGCTCTGAAGGTTAGGTGGTGGTTGTTATAAAGCACAAACTGAGCAAATGTAGTGAAAACAGTCATGGAATGGCTGTGGTTACAGGTCGTGATAGGGATCCCAGGCTAGTGAAAGAAAAGAAAGAAAGAGGGAGAGAGGAAGGGACAGGAAGGGAATGTGGCAGAGGAGAAGTAAGAGGAGGAGGAAGGGGGAGGGATGAATGGAGAGAAGAAATGATTACAGATACACAAAGAGTCGGGGTGCTGGGACAAAGAGTTACAAGGTCTAGGCCAAGCCTAGACTACATCATTAGTTCAAGGCCAAGCCTCTGCTTTGTAAAAACAGAAAAAACCTAACAAACAGAAAACCAACCCAAAAGAATGTGCTCAGCCTAAAGGCCAAAGAAGTAAAAAATTACCAGAAAAAGATTAGAAGAAAAATGAAATTGTTTAGACCTTCCTTGCCATTGTGTCATCAGGGTAGGCTACTGCAACTTCAGTTAGAAGATAGAAAGCAAGTTGGTTTTGGCATTTGCCTCACAGACTTGTTACAAGTATCAATAATATGAAACTTGTCTAGTATAATGACTAGCACTTTGGACAAGTTTTCATTCCACCTTCACTTATGAACGCTCACATAGAATAGATGATAAATACTTAATTTCAATGTTAGGTTAAGAAAGCATATTATTTTTTTTGTTTTTGCAATTTAATATGATGTTCTAGTTCAGTTTCTGTTGCTATGATAAACTCTCCAACCAAAAGCAACCTTGGGAAGAAAGTGTTCATTTCAGTTTACACTCCCTGGTCACTTCCTGAGGGAATTCAGGGTGAAAATTCAAGCAGGACAGGAGCTTGGAGCAGAAACCATGGAATAATGCTGCTGTTTGCTGGTTCACTCTCTGGATAGCTTGTGAGCTAGTACTTAGCTAGCTTTCTAATACAACTCATGACCATCTGCCCAGGGATTCTGAAGCCTATAGCCTATATGGCTAGGACTGCCTCATAAATTATTATTCAAAATAATCCCTTGCAGACATGCACACAGGCCAGTCTGACCCAGATGACTCTTCACTCAATGCTTTCTTATTAGATGACTCTAGGTTGATTCACCATGGCAACTGGAGCCCACTAGGACATAGCTGAGTTTGAAGAAGTCAGTACAATGATACAAAAATACTGCGAGTCAATGAATTGAGGATAAGCAGCATCCAATAAGCTACATAATTCTAGGTAAAGTTTGTGTATTATTGAGTTACAAAAAAGAAAACTGTAAGAGCTGGGGGAAATTATATTAAAAACAAAATCTAGTTCTAATTATAAAGTGAATAATAAGGCATGTTGTATCCTCAATGTCCTCCAGAAACTCATGATGCAAAGGGTTAGTCGCCAGCTTGTTTGTTATTGGGACCTGGTAAAATACTTGTGAAGCACAGCTTCACTAGAGGAAATTAGACCACTGGGAACAAACTGTTGAAGGAGATATTGGAACCTTGGTCATTTCCTTTCTTGTTCTCCTTGCTTCCTAGATACCATAAAGTGAATGATTCCCCTTACCACACACACAGTTCATGATGTATGGCCTGGGCACAAGTACAAAGCATGAACTATGAGGCAAAGGTAGGTCTTCTCTCTTTATATGCTGATGAGAGATGTCATTCTGTAAATATCTTTCTCGTATTGGTTAATGAATAAAGCCCTGTTGGCCAATAGGAAAGCAAGATAGGCAGGATTAGCAGACAAGGAGGATTCAGGGATAGGTAGGAGATTCAACATGTAGAGACTTAAGGGAGAAGAAGGTCCAGACCCTCTCTCTGATAAGACCACATGGAAACACTTAGATTAACAGAATGGGTTAATATTTAAGACAGAGCTAACCAATAAGAAATGCTAGTAACAGGCCAACAGCTTTATATCTAATACATCATATCTGTGTGTTATTTGGGGCCGATGCGGCTGTGGGACCAGGCTGGTGGGGAAACTGCTCCTAATGTTTTGTTATAATGACAGAAAATTAACTAACTCTTTTGGAAACTTGCCCCAAAGATGCAGTGGTTTCAATTTTTTAAGAATTAAAAACAATATAGGGATCAAAAATGTTCCCTTTTAATAACACCCATAGGATTGATAAACTGTGTTTGCACTGTGACAGTATTTACCTTTTGATGTAGACTTAGTCGACACATGTGTTCCCTGGCTATGCAGGGTTTCCCATCAGCTTCCCTGGAAGGCAGGCAAATGAACAGATCCCAGGAGTTCAAATCACCTAAACACAATAATGACAGTTAGCTCCTTCCAGTAACCAACGTAATATTGGAACCCTAAAAGACAAGAAACACCTTATAGCAAAATGCTAACACTCAGAATAACTAAAATTCAACTTCTCATTCAAAACCTTTCTGTTTAGCACTGTAGTCTAGAGAAAATTCAGTCATTGAATATCTATAAAATTCTTTTGAAAAACTAAAATTAGAATATGTAGTGGGATATTCACTTTGCCTCCTTCTGTGGCACTGACCACGCCCATTGGGGGGTGGAGCCAGGGGTGGAAGTGACTTGTGGAACTAGGTCTGAGGAGGAGCCAGGGAATGCTCTCTTGTTGGCGGGTCGCTTAGAGGAGAGTATCCAGTGGAACTTGCTGGTGTTCATCAGTCTAGGTTGTAAGTTATTTCTCCCTGAATAAACATCTATTCGGCCTGTTTATCCTGATCCTTATTAAACCACAATAAGAATATATATATGTCTTTTTTTAAAGTTCATAAGCCTTCTTACAAAAAAAGAGTATGATAGGTAGAAAGTAAAATTAATAAAAATTTCAAAGGTTTCATGAAAAATGAATCAGTGGTTTAGTTACAGATACTAGAATGGAGTTGAAAATTCAGAACATGACATGAACTGAAGCAACTAATAGTCTCTTACCAAGGACAAAATCCTTTGCCAATAGTCATACAAACCTGACACAATAACTTGTCAACTTAGAAGAGTGAATTTTGGCTCAGAGATGACCATTTATGGGCATGTGTAAATTGATTTTCATTTATTCTTTTGTGTGTATTTGTGTGAGTGTGGTGTATGTGTGTATGGCATGTGTGTATGGTATATGTACATGAGTGTGTGTGTCTTCATGTGTGTGTGTGTGTGTGTGTGTGTGTGTGTGTGTGTCACATTTCACCTATTCCTTCAAGACAAGGTCTTGCACTGAGCCTGGAGTGGTCCTCCTGTCTCTTCTAACACAATGCTGCTTTACAAGCATGAGTGGCCATCTCCCGCTTTCTTTTTATTGAAGAGTGTGGGCACTGGGTTCACCAGAGCTCCGTTCTTCTCAGTTGATGTTAACTGTTCTTATCACTGAGGCATTTCTCCAGATCATTCATTTACTCCTTTCTTCTGTCTGTTTTTGTTTGTTTGTTTGTTTGTTTTTGTTTTTTTAAATCAACATGCCTTATATAGAATTGGTGCTTTAAAAATATTTGTTGAATGGAAATCACTGATGGAATAGTAAATGTATGACCACTCAAAGAAAAACAAACAGAAGAAATATATTTCAATTGTTAATGACATAGGTAATAATGAAAGAAGTACATCCAATAGTCTACATGAAGTAGGGCACAATAAACAAATTAGCATAGCTTGAACATTTTCCCAACTTTTTGTTTGGAAAATTGGCTTTAAAAATGTTTTCTGTGCACATTGTCTCCCTTGTGAATCATGAGACAAACACAGGTACCACCATTGGTCTCCTCCATCACCCCCAATGGCTTCTAAAAAGCTTAGGGAGACTACCAGCATGTTTAAAGCCATCTCATCTCGTTTTTGTTTTTCAGGAGAATGTCTCACATAGAAACAAAACACTTCCAAAGAAAGGCCAAACAAATGAAAGAACTAGTAAGGAGAAGAATCTATAATTAGTAGTGAAATTTCACTCTTTGCCAACCAAGTACTTTTCATTTGACAAGCCCTGTGTAGTCTGGACTATGTTTTATGGTTTGGGCAAACAAAGTGATCTAAACTACTGAAGTCAAAGCTTTCATCCCACAATTGTGCTGCTGGCTTGTTCATGAAGATACTGAAAGACAACAGAGCAGTTCAAAGGGGCAAGGATGAGTTCAAACCATGAGCTGGGACAGAGAATCTCATCCATGAACCAGCAAGCAAGCCTCAGGCTCGGGAGATGGAGATGCTGTATACGCCCTCACTTTGAAGAGAATTTCAGACCAATTCCTGGAGCTAAAACCAAATACACTGCAATGCTTCCAAATCCTCTATTTTGAACAGGCAGTGGGCTTTGTCCACCAACATTCTTTGATTTGAATTCAAACAGAAATACAATGCATTTTTATTTCATGTCATGTCCAGTTCAGGAAATCCTGAAACCCTAGAAAAAAGACTCTTGTCATAAGATCCCCAAATAAATATTTTAAGAAGATAAGGGTATTCAAAGAGAGAGGGATTTCAAATTAAGAATTGCATTGCTTGTTTCTTAAAACCAGAGTATATTTTGGCTTCTTCTGAGGTGTACTTCCTTTCACTTTGGCAAACACACACACTTCTAGAGTTGGTAGAAAGAAACACATTTCAGCCATACATGTTTAAAATTGGGAAACACATTTAAATAATTCATAGGAATTCATTAAGAACTGTCAATGAGCAGAACCTTGCTCTGGATATATGAAAGAAAATAGAAAGCAGAAAAAAAAAAAAGCACTAAGTGCCCACAGCAATCTATCTGAGGGATCTAAAAGATTAAAAAGATGTGAGGCTAACTTATAAAATATCACACAGTCTCTTGGCAGGCTTAAGGTGACCCTTCATTCCACAAAAAAATATTCAATTAATATTTCAACTTAAAAATTAATAATTCAAAAAAGGCTCATAGCTCTTCAATGTTCTCTTAAAATGAAGTAAAGTATAACAAGGATTTCAAGAAATGTCTTCATATACTTCCCTAATCATTGCTACCGAAGTCTAAACAGCACTAGTTATTTCTGTTCAAAATTCTTTTTCTTAACTGAATTCTATGCCAACCTCCCAAACCGCTATAGGTTAAATATTTAGTAATATTTTTACTTTCTATGTGTTTCTCTCTCTGCCTCCAGAAGTCAATTCCCTCCTTGAACTTTTCAAAGCAAAGCTTTGTTTGTTTCAGGAGACACAGTGTGTGTTCATATTTGGCCACAGACACCCAAGAGCCATGTTGAAAATAGCAACTTGGACCACAGAGCAAAGGCTATTTATTTACTAGCTAAGTACACCACTTCTCCAAGCTAGCCTTGGAGCAGTACAGGTACAAATTTATACCTTAATAAAATTTCAGACTACTGCAATATTTGGGGGCCTTGGGGACCACCACCATCCAGTAGAGGAGAGTAGAAGTTACTAGCAGACCCAGGCACAGCATCCACAGCAGAGGAGAGTAGAAGTTACTAGCAGACCCAGGCGCAGCATCCACAGCAGAGTGTACAAGTGGGAGGCACAGGGGCAAGTCCAGCCCTTGAGTGGCCAGCACACTAGGTAGATACTTGCCAAATTCAAAAGTCAGCAGAATCACACTTGAAAAACCAGATTTCAGCCATTGTTGGAAACCCTAGTAACACTAGGCCTACATCTTACAGGCATCAAAGACTTCAGGGAGGTGCCCAGGAGTTCTCCACATGGCCCCAAGGCTGCCTTCCTCTACATCTAGCATCGGCAGTTTTAGTCCTGCTGTAAAATACTGGTATGCCCATATTCCATTAATCAGTCTTTTGACAAACATATTCATGCTTTAATTTTTAGTGAATTAAATATGCCCCTTAGCGAAGTTGATTTTGTTGAATAGACTAAGAGAAGTTGCTATTTGGTCCGTTGGTGGTTGACATCTGGATATCCTTCTGATGCCTAGGTGTAGCACATCTGTCAGAAAGATGACTCCAACTTACTCCAACTTACTATTACTACCTTTCTTAGCTACTTTTCTGTAAAACACCATAACCAACACAACTTACAAAAGAGTCTACTGGGCTCGCTATTTCAGAATGTTGCAGTCTGTGGCACAAGAACAAAAGCATGGCGGCAGGGACAACTGAGAGCTCACAACTTGAGACACAGCCACGAGACCGTGAGGGCACATTGGGAAGGGCACAAGTGTTTTGAAGCCTCAAAACCTGCCCAACATTTTACTGGTTGTGCTAAAGTTGGTAAGGAATGAAGTAGGACCTCGGTCTTTCTTCCTCCCAGGACCTGGAAACACTAAGAGAGGTCTATGGCTGTCTTCTTTGTTGTGTCTCTTTTCTTGAGGTTGAGTGCTGAGCTTGCTCACAAGCCAGTCTTTCTTGGCTCAAGCCATCTCTTCTCACAGCCTCACTTTTGATTCCGTACACATGCCTGCCTGAGGGCTGTTTTCCAGGGTTAGCTGGTCCAGTGCAGGCTCTCTTAGGTAACAGGCAAACATTACACCCTTTTCATTGTCTGTTTTGATATGTTTCTTCCATATCTAGAGAGAAGAGCTGAGAAGTCAAATGCAGGTTCCAGTAAAATAAAAAGCAGGCAAGAAAGTTCTTAGTGAATTTGATGGTTCCTTGAGTTGTTAGCCTTAAGAAAAGATAGAGTCTGTGTGGTTTAGAGTACTAAATTGGAATTTGGGTTTCAAATCCCGCAATGAATATATAAGTTATAGTAGCGTGGTGCTTTCAGCGAGAATGGCCCTCATAAACTAATGTTTAAATATATAGTTCCCAGTCGGTGTGACTGTTTGGGAAGGATCAGGGGGCATGTCCTTGTTGATGGAGGTGTTTCACTATGGGCAGGTTTTGAGGTTTCAAAACACTTGTGCCCTTCCCAATGTGCCCTCACGGTCTCGTGGCTGTGTCTCAAGTTGTGAGCTCTCAGTTGTCCCTGCCGCCATGCTTTTGTTCTTGTGCCATAGACTGCAACATTCTGAAATAGCGAGCCCAGTAGACTCTTTTGTAAGTTGTGTTGGTTATGGTGTTTTACAGAAAAGTAGCTAAGAAAGGTAGTAATAGTAAGGATACAAACAGATAAAGATTCTTCTAAGATGTATACCATTATTCTCTCTCTCTCTCTCTCTCTCTCTCTCTCTCTCTCTCTCTCTCTCTCTCTCTCTGTGTGTGTGTGTGTGTGTGTACATATGCATGTATGTGGATGCCCTCAAAAGTCAGAAAATGGCATGTGATCCCCAGGAGCTAGAGTTACATACAGCTCTTTGTATACTGTTTGGCACGGGTTCTGGGAACCAAACTCTAGTTCTCTACAAGAGGAGCAATTATC